CAAAAACAACTACCTTCAAATCATCCTCACATTGCTGGCTCACTCAACAATATTGGTCTTATTTATAATGGGAAAGGTGATTTTAATACAGCACTGGATTATTATCAACAGGCTTTGAGAGTTTACGACGACTTATATCCTGGTAATAATCTACAAAAAGCAGGTACAATTAGAAATATTGGGGTAGTACACAAGGATAAAGATGATTTCGATACGGCTCTTACTTATCTGTCTCGTGCTCTCGAGATGTATAAACATGTTCTCCCTCATCAACACTCTGAGATAGCACGATGTCTCGGTTCAATAGGATATACTTATCAGAAGAAAGGTAATTTAGATATTGCTCTCGATTATTATCAACAACGATTAAATATGCAAGAACAATGTTTACCTTTCGACCACTCAGATCTTTCATTTGATCTCGATTTGATCATTGATACTTATAAAAAGATGAATGAAATTGACAAAGCCTTAGACTTGTGTCGACAAAAGCTTGTTATTCAAAAAATTAGATTGCCTGAAAATCATCCTCGTATTGCTCGAATATTAATGATCATGGCTGATTTAATTAAGGACAACAATCACAATGAAGCATTAGAATACTATGAACAAGCTCTATCTGTATTGGAGAATTGCACACCATTAGATCATCAACTCACTTCTCAATGTTTGACATCAATGGCTCGTTTATATTCCAATTATGATATGATGGAAGATGCATTACGATGTGACCTTAAAGCGCTTGAAATTGATTCTCAAACGTTGTCTTCTGATCACACTTACATCGCAAACAGTTTAAGAAACATTGGCCTAGATTATAAAAAAATGAACAACTTATCTGAAGCACTTCATTATTACAATGAAAGTCTTTCAATCTATCGAGCTAATTATGGACCAAAACATGAGATGGTGAAGAGATGTGAAGCAGACATTGCCATATTGAAGAACAATAAAAAAATTCAAGCAATAAGAAATAGTCTACAGTCGTTGACAGTAGAGCATGTTTAATTCAATGATCAATGCTCTAGTTTTTTTATCGATTCTGTTTTCTTTATTAAAAGAATGAGCAGTTTTATGTAAAACTTGTTGTATTTGATCAGTATTACGCAAAATAAAATAAGAAATAAGAAAATAGATTCATTTTGAAAGAAAAGTAGTAGTAACAATAATAGTAGAAATCCGCAAATGGCTTTGTCTTCACATCCGCGAACCAGTGAAGAGATGATAAATATAAAAATATATGTAAATGTATGATATTTAACAATATTACCATCTTTACACAACCGTACATTTTAGATGAGAAACACAATATATCATTTAGATAACAAATGAAATAATATTTTCTTATTGATAGAACTTTACAAATTCTATTCCATTCATATTAAACTTCGACAAATGATAGTTTAAATAAAATTAATTTAAACAATATTCCATTTTTGTTGCGTAATTCAATTTTATTGACGAAAATTCTATCATAGATAAATAAATAAATATATTGATAAGCAGACAATAATACAGATAAAAGTTAGAATAAAATAATAATCAAGTCTCTCTTCTTTTAAAAATTTATAATCTTATTTTAAATAATCTAAAGATCATCACCATCATTTTTTGCTATTCGTAACTATTCATACTCATTTTTCTCTGTATTATATTTCTATTGATTGTTTTATTCAGCATACGTTGTGTTCTACTCAAGAATAGCCTAAAATCGACAGCGAAAGTAAGAAAAACGTTCAAATGTGAACAATGTGAGAAGTGTAGAATAGAAAATTAAAAAGCCAAATACGATTATTATTGTTTATACGTTTGAGATTGTAGGCATTACAATGATAATTCATTTATGACTGTTAGACACGTCTATATTATAAAACTTATTTTTATACCGAACATCTTTTATTTTCATGAGAATAGTTCAAGAATGATTTACAGTTTTTGATTTTATTATATAAAACAAACTAATAAAGATATACAAAAACTTATTTTTATTTTCTTTCTATCCAATATGAAATATAATCTTCCGATATAAATCGTTGGATATTGATAATACATAAAGATTCAGTTATGTTTATTATTTCATCAATAGTCTTAACATCAGGTAGCGCTTCTTCTTTTTCAATAAAATCAAAACGTAAACATTTAAGTTGATGTTGATTAATATGAATAAAAATGAATTCAATCCATTTATTAATATTGACCCATGACGATGAGATATATTTGCAATTAATGAAACGTAAATACTTCAAGTTAGGAAAACGTTGCTTATTAATAATGAACGAAAGAAGTGGTAGCATAATTTGTTCATTTAGATTCATGTTGATAAGTGGTTCACAATCTATAAATAATCGATCAAGATGTACTTTTTTTCCAGTTTGTTAATCTAACACATTAATCCTAGTAAAAAAGCAAGACGCTCTATCTTTGTCATCGAATTTATCATGCCAAACACGAAGATTTGTTTTCGATAACTGTACAGTTAGAAACGAGACGTTAATTTGACCGTTTGGTAATGACATATCTTGCTATTGACTTTTTTTGTTCATTTTCTTTTACAATATTGTTATAATTATATAAATGTGTTCTTTTTCTCTACGACTCATTACTATAAAGAAACAAACAGAATGATCAGAGTAGAGATGACTATTCAGTTATTTGAAATGGACTTAATTGAGAAGTTTCACAAATTCTTATATCATTCTTTCCGAAATATTCATTAGCGACTGAAAATGGAGCGTATCATATCGAGTATTTTATTTATGTTTTAAGAAAGAAACAATAATTCACTTTTAAATATTCAAATTTTATCTGTCAAGTTTTTACAGTTTATTTGAAGAAAGACATATATAGATAATTTTCATTGCATACGTTGGATTTCCATCATGAAATGAACCAAAAATCACCAATAATTAAAGAGGAATTATGGTGATGAAGTTGAATTGTATGATCCAGCGATACTTAAAACTGCATCTGATTTTTGTTTACATAATTTTCTTGTTATTTACTATCATGCGCGAGTATCTCTTGTGCAGTGAAAGATCATGTTTTTATATTATATGAAATAAATTTGATGTACGTAGAACAGTTGATTGTTAAAAACTGTTCGACAGTACTTTTACTTAACCCTTAAGAGCCGTATGTCCCTTCCAAGGGACATTGCATTAAACGCTATAGAACGAATGAATAAAGTCTTTTCTGCAAAAGCTACTGTTTTTAGGGACGAAGACAGTCATAGTGAAAGTATGATGGAACAACATTATGCTAAAACAGTTGTCAAACAGTTGTCAAACGCCCAAACCTAGCTCTTAGAAAGTATAATTTTCCAAGCAAAATTGGTTACTCGGATATTGATATATCCTGATATATACAATATAGATTCTGAGTGATATCATTAGAAATAACCCTAAACTATAGTTTAGAATAACTTTGCACGCTTTTAGCTCTTCTACTAAGGTATTCTGACGTTATAAAAAAGTACCATTTTAATGGCATTTTTGGGCATAGTAATGACGATTATTGTGAATTTTTCGCTCAACAGATAATTGGAGGTATGTTAAAATATCATCAGAATGAACTTACAGTGATTCTGAACCATATTAGAAACTCAAGCGCACAAAAAATTATGAAGGTCATATTCCACCCAGACCATCTGGGTGGAAAAAAATTTTGGTCACACCCAGCAATTCTAACCACGGTAAGTGCATATTGAGGACCCTAAATCTCTATTTATGTAATTAATTCTACCCGAATCTCAGTGGAAGCCCCTTCGGCTCTTAAGGGTTAATACATTCAAGTATTTTTTCCTACGACATTAGCATGCCAGCATTCATAGATGATGAAATAACAATTAAAATGATTAGTTTCATAATGTTTATGTTATACAAACAAAACGACAGTAGGCGAATAATCTACATTTTTTTCTTTTGGCAAATCTGTAAATGTTTTCTGTGTTGGAGATGGAATCGAGTTGTTTTTGGCACTATATATTATTAAATTATAAAAACATCTTAGATAAAGAAATAGACATTCCAGGCTGAAAAAAAAATTATGTTTTATTTTTGAAAAAGAGGAAATGAAAATTTTTATTTTTGGAGTAAATAGGAAACGACTATTTTTTTTATTTGCCGACAGCAATGCATTTGCTGTTCTTTAATATAGGGAAGTTATGAGCACTGTAGATTGTTTACTTGCACAATACGTTCTTATGTATTAAAAGAGAGAAAAAAGTTAATAAAAAAAACATGTTCGTTTCCATAATACTGTTGTTTTATGGAAGAAACATCCTCAAACTATCCGATCATTTCCTTGAACTAAAATTTTTTTTTGTGAAAACAACCATTCATATTTCTTGTTTCAGTCAATTCAATATCAATGTGAGTATTAAAATGTATATAAAGAGAAAAAAGAAAATTGCATGGTGTCCTTTATATTAAAAAAGAAAGGGAATAAAACTATTTCAAAAGACCCAGGCTCCGTAATATTTATTCAAATAATCAAACAGTTGGTGAGTATGGAAAGAAATATAGAGAAGAGAATATATGATGCTAGTCCAAATTTCAATTGCTCCCTCAAGTTAGAAATACATTTGCTTCTTGCCTACACACTTACTATTCATATTTATATATATATATAAGCATAGCATATATTTAGTAATCTACAACAGAAGCTAGAACATTATATTAACAATGGCCTATCGACAACTGTGCTGCGCTTTTTACGTATTTCTATATATGATTAACTTACCAAATGTTCAATCAACAGCATCTAATTCATTATCGGATTGTCAAACAGCGGCTTCATCATTTCGAACAACAATTAATTATACAGCCAGTAATATTACGGGAACTACCGGAATGAATGCTACCTGTTCAGCCAGCGGTATTGTATGTCCTGGTCAAACTATCAATGGTGTTTGTATTTGGCAACGGAAATTAAGTGCTGTTTGTCGAAATGCCAGTGGTGTTATTAAAATTCGTATTCAGACAAACGGTTTACCTCCACGGTGTGCTAGTGTACCCATGGGCAGTTTTGCCGAATTAAATGTTGATTTTGAAGTAAACTTTAATCCTGATGTCAGCATTAATTCGTTAAATTCAAATCTGAACACTGTTTCATCACTTTCGCAAACACTCTGTACACTAACTAGTGCATCAACAGCTCCATCGGCTTCCGGCTTTGTTAATTATGGGACAACAGGTCTGACCACTGCAACAGGAGTATCAGTAGACGGTGTTATGATTTTTACTCCTGATTCAACAAATAATATCGATCCATTTTTTCCACCAGCAGGCGGAACCGCTGAAACAGTAGATAGCTGTCTTGCTCATTGTCAGGCGGCTGGTATATATCATTATCATATTGCTAGTGGTTGTCAAGTCAATCCTCCAACAGGAAATATTACATCATGTGCTGCTAATAGTTCTTGTATTTCAAATATTGCTACATATTCTATATCTTCATTTTTAAGTTATCAAACGAAGACAGTCATTGGTATTGCTAAAGATGGACATGTTATTTATGGTCCTTATCTATCTTCAGGTACACAAGTAACAACAGGTTTTGATGTTTGTAATGGAATGTTTTATGATTCTATTGGTAATTATGCTTATTTCGCTACATCAACATATCCATATCTTGTTGGATGTTTTGGACCAGGAAATTATCCGTTGTTTGGACCCACTTGTACTACTAATGGAGTATCATCCTATAATATGTCATCTTATGCGAGCTCGTTCTGGAATAGTTCGACTACAACTTCAATGAGTGTTCGAATTAGTCTTGATACTGGTCTTATTCTTGTATTCATTAGCGCCTTCATATCCTTATATTAAACAATTATTTGAACTATAATACGTGCTTTACTCACCATATTTTCGCATTTATTTTAACTCTTTATCATTTTTCATGTATCAAAATAAACTTTTAAAACTAAATAAAATAAAGTAATAATGTATTGAGTGAAAAAATTATCATCATTATATAGCAAAAGAATTTTTACTCAGATTTTTAAATATAAACTGAAGTTATATATGATTTTTATTATGTATGAGCAATATTAAGGGTATGGATATTCTTCTCATTCATTACTTACACCCACTCTCAAGATGAAGTGGCTTACAGCTTAGGTATTCAAAGAAATTTATTAGAAGAAATTAAAAAGACTAATATGAGTTTTGAAAGTCGAGAGTTGATGTGTAGAATAAATTCTACAGTCACAAATAACGAACAGACTGTTCAATAATTACTTCAGATGATAAAATCTGCTATGGAAAATAGAGATATATTATTTGTTAATATATCGAGTTCAAAACCAAAAACTAACTAGTAGTACATTTGAATAGATTAAAAATGAAGAATAATTAGAAAATGGTTTTTTCATCCAATTCTTTTTTGTCTCAGTTGAATATATGAAAAAGTAAAAATTAACTATGTAAGGGACTATATAAATCTCAAAGTTAAATATTTTGAACATTTCTTTCTACAACAATATTTTGTACAATAAGCGGTTTTTTTGTTATTTTTAATGAATGGATATTAACAAAAATAATATATAGAATATATACTTACGGAATAATTCATAATTTAATTTTAGCAACATATTAATCAATAAGTTCTTATTCATTTAATTTATTTCATTGTTTTACATTTTATACATAGTTAATTATTTTAACACAAGCATTAAATAGTATCTTTATGTCTGTAATAATGAACTATTTATCAAATATTATTCGTTCATTTGTTATATCATTTTCATTAATTGTAACAGCAGTTCTTTCGGTATTCTTTATAACATTTGTTATAATAATTTGAGCTCTTTGAATATATTATTCATCAATAAAATTTCGATTTTTTAATAATACTTTTATTTGATCAATATTAAATAGAAAACATTCAAAAGCAATATATCTACCATCTTTAAGTCAATCATTCGATGTACGATGAGTAATTCATTGAGATAATTTATCTTTCGAAAAAGAGCGAAGATTTGAAACCATTTCAAGGGTGTGCGTGTGGCTTTCAGTAAATATTACATTCATCTTACAATCACAAAGCCAAGTTAAGGACTATCATTCTCTCAAATCAGAAAAGTATTTATTAAGAAGAAATTTCATTTTTCTATATCACATAAGCAAAAATAAAGGAATCGGTCTGCTATTTAAAAAAGAAGTATTTAAGAATGGCATTCAACACGTCGTTGTCTTTTACATATTATCACAATTTGTTATGTAACGCACTGTTTTCCTAGGCGCTCTGCATTTTTTCCCACTTTCTCTTTTCTTTTCCTTTGTTACTATCTTTTATTCGAGTATAAATACTCAATACACATACGTAAGTATTCAGTTTTCGATGATAACAAACTTCGGTAAGTTACGTTGTTTATTGGATTATCTTTAGTTCTTTTTACATTATAATTATGAAATATGAGTTGTTTCAAAACTTTTCATCAAAATAAAACAAAAACAGGAAATACTTGGACACGTATCAAATGGATTTATTTTTTAAAAACTTAATGAAACTTTACTATTTCAGGCATAATGGCTTCAAATTCTTCATCTCCCATCTGATTTAATACCAACTGCATCTGACTAATGATGTTAAATCAGATGATCAGCATCTAATTTAATATTATTTGCATCTGATTTAACGTCATCTGAAGGTAGCTGTGCTAGCGGTAGTTCAGCAGTTGAATCTCGAAATTCACAGCATTAACAAGTGCCCACTACCCAAAGCAACAATGTTCAAAACGACAGCACAGCAACAGCAGCTATGTCAAGCTATGGTGTTACATATCAAACAGATGCCATCAAAAAAACAATTTTTTTCATTAAACTGTCGTCAAGGAGAATAATAAAAATATTGTAAAGTTAATATGTTCAATTTTATCGAATCATTTTCAAAGTATCATAGTTCCAGTGTACCATCTATGGCATTCTCGTTATTTTATGTTTTCATTTTTTTTTTAAATATCAATAAACATTTGTTATTCTTTGAATATATAATACTTATTTACATTGAATTCATTATGTCTTTCGTAACTGTTCACACTTATTTTTCTTAGTATTATGTTTTTATTGATTGTTTCATTGAACATACGCAGGGATGGCGTGACCGGGGAGGACAGGTGGGTGTCGGGGGTGTAATACCCGTCCAATCTTCGAAAATTTCTATTTTTGCTGAACAAAATCGCCAAATCTAAGATTTTTTACCAAAGATAATGCTACACCCTCCGAAAAAACGCAAAATTAATCTTTCTAATTCAAAAAATTTTGCTACGCGCCCCGTCCCTCCAATGTTGACTGACTCGCGCTATCCCAGTCTGGGCGTAAAAAAACAAGCTAGTTCGATTTCGGACGCAAAACCCTGTACCCGCGCAGGACGTTAACCCAGACACATACTCATTGAATGAAGCTTACCAAACCGAACTGTTTGGGTACGATTCATGTCCAGTAACAAAGACCATATATAGTCTTAGCAATGTATGAAAATATGCAATAAAATCGCTCATGTTGATTATTTTTAGAATTATCTATAAAATATGGATGCATGAGTGTGTCCATATACATTCGTCAAACGTTAGTGGAAGGTATTTCCTTACTAAATATGTGCTGTATAATCAAACACATCACGCAAAAAAGAAAAAAATATAACAAAATATTTCTTTCCGGGAAAAAGTAATACTGCTATACTCACTTTCACAAAACAACTGGAAGCAATTTTAATATTCCACTTTCGCCGATTTTATTCATCAGACGACGTTGGAAAAAAAAGTAGGAAGAAAAGAAAACTTTTGCTTCTGCAACACAATATAAAAAGCCTCTGAAATAAAATATTTTTGCCAAGATATTTTTTAAGGTAATAATAAAGTGATTATTCATTTAATGGCTACTAGTGGTGCCTTAAATGAAAGACGACAGAATCTTCTTCCAAACCAAGTTTCACACAACAAAGAAGATATTCAATTGATTTGGCTTGATGGAAACATGAATGATTCTGATGATTATCTTCTCACTCAATCAATGTTAATTCAACTCAATTCAGCTGTTCAGTTTTATTCTCATTTTGATCGATGTCTCGATTTTAT